ATGTTCAGGTGTATATCAGTATGTAATGTCTCTATTTTAAAGAGTCCTCTCCTGCTGATGTTCAGGTGTATATCAGTGTGTAGTGTCTCTACTTTAAAGAGTCCTCTCCTGCTGATGTTCAGGTGTATATCAGTATGTAATGTCTCTACTTTAAAGAGTCCTCTCCTGCTGATGTTCAGGTGTATATCAGTATGTAATGTCTCTACTTTAAAGAGTCCTCTCCTGCTGATGTTCAGGTGTATATCAGTATGTAATGTCTCTATTTTAAAGAGTCCTCTCCTGCTGATGTTCAGGTGTATATCAGTATGTAATGTCTCTACTTTAAAGAGTCCTCTCCTGCTGATGTTCAGGTGTATATCAGTATGTAATGTCTCTACTTTAAAGAGTCCTCTCCTGCTGATGTTCAGGTGTATATCAGTATGTAATGTCTCTATTTTAAAGAGTCCTCTCCTGCTGATGTTCAGGTGTATATCAGTATGTAATGTCTCTACTTTAAAGAGTCCTCTCCTGCTGATGTTCAGGTGTATATCAGTATGTAATGTCTCTATTTTAAAGAGTCCTCTCCTGCTGATGTTCAGGTGTATATCAGTATGTAGTGTCTCTACTTTAAAGAGTCCTCTCCTGCTGATGTTCAGGTGTATATCAGTATGTAATGTCTCTACTTTAAAGAGTCCTCTCCTGCTGATGTTCAGGTGTATATCAGTATGTAATGTCTCTACTTTAAAGAGTCCTCTCCTGCTGATGTTCAGGTGTATATCAGTATGTAATGTCTCTACTTTAAAGAGTCCTCTCCTGCTGATGTTCAGGTGTATATCAGTATGTAATGTCTCTACTTTAAAGAGTCCTCTCCTGCTGATGATCATTTGTATATCAGTATGTAATGTCTCTACTTTAAAGAGTCCTCTCCTGCTGATGTTCAGGTGTATATCAGTATGTAATGTCTATACTTTAAAGAGTCCTCTCCTGCTGATGTTCAGGTGTATATCAGTATGTAGTGTCTCTACTTTAAAGAGTACTCTCCTGCTGATGTTCAGGTGTATATCAGTATGTAGTGTCTCTACTTTAAAGAGTCCTCTCCTGCTGATGTTCAGGTGTATATCAGTATGTAGTGTCTCTACTTTAAAGAGTTCTCTCTCCTGCTGATGTTCAGGTGTATATCAGTATGTAGTGTCTCTACTTTAAAGAGTCCTCTCTTGCTGATGTTCAGGTGTATATCGGTGTGTAGTATCTCTACTTTAAAGAGTCCTCTCCTGCTGATGTACAGGTGTATATCAGTGTGTAGTGTCTCTACTTTAAAGAGTCCTCTCCTGCTGATGTTCAGGTGTATATCAGAATGTAGTGTCTCTACTTTAAAGAGTCCTCTCTTGCTGATGTTCAGGTGTATATCAGTATGTAGTGTCTCTACTTTAAAGAGTCCTCTCCTGCTGATGTTCAGGTGTATATCAGTGTGTAGTATCTCTACTTTAAAGAGTCCTCTCCTGCTGATGTTCAGGTGTATATCAGAATGTAGTGTCTCTACTTTAAAGAGTCCTCTCCTGCTGATGTTTAGGTGTATATCAGTATGTAGTGTCTCTACTTTAAAGAGTCCTCTCCTGCTGATGTTCAGGTGTATATCAGTATGTAGTGTCTCGACTTTAAAGAGTCCTCTCTTGCTGATGTCCAGGTGTATATCAGTATGTAGTGTCTCTACTTTAAAGAGTCTTAAAAAACATCGTTTAATTGTTTGCCTGACCAATCGTAACAGGGCTCCTTGTAGATAAAAAAGTGTTTTAATGTGAAACTTCAGAATCTGTATTTACTGCCATTCAAATGACAGCCAGTCTTTTCACCCAAAAAGGGGGCGTGGCCTTGCATAAAGAGAAAGTACCCGGATGTGCTGCTCTCAGCTATTGGGCCTCTTTAACAATCATGTACAGAATAGGAACAAAAAGGATCATCCTCTCAACCATCATGAAGTCAAACACACAAACAGTGAGAGCATCAGTACTTGTGTATACAAACATCAGAGTGCTGGGATGTAGAGCGTGTGTTTGCTCAGGGCGACTGTAACCGGTCCATTATCTGACCACTGACACACAACAACTGGCAGAACAAAAGCAATGAGAGGGCCGGACAAAGAGGTACAATGACAGAGGGGGAAGCACAGGAATGTGATCTCCAGTCTGACGTGTGGGTTAAAGCCAGCTCTAATGAGTGGAAACAGCACAGGAATGAAGGAAAGTACAGAAAGTATGCAGAGTATTACTCCTCATCAGTCACAACTGTAATACTGTGGCTAACTGTAGCTCAGTGACTCAGCAGATGACTCATCGTTACTCTGGCTCTTTGTGAAAGAGGGAGGAAACGCAAACTACTGAAGTCTGTATATCTTACTGTAAATACTGTCTCTCTGTAGTACACCTGGAAAATACACCTTTTAAACATCAACATGAGTAGAAGTACTCAGATCTGTACTTGAGTAAAAGTATAAGTACTCAGGTATTGTACTTGAGTAAAAGTAGAAGTACTCAGATCGTGTACTTGAGTAAAAGTAGAAGTACTCAGACCTTGTACTTGAGTAAAAGTAGAAGTACTCAGATCTTGTACTTGAGTAAAAGTAGAAGTACTCAGATCTTGTACTTGAGTAAAAGTAGAAGTACTCAGATCTTGTACTTGAGTAAAAGTAGAAGTACTCAGATCTTGTACTTGAGTAAACGTAGAAGTACTCAGATCTTGTACTTGAGTAAAAGTAGAAGTACTCAGATCTTGTACTTGAGTAAAAGTAGAAGTACTCAGATCTTGTACTTGAGTAAAAGTAGAAGTACTCAGATCTTGTACTTGAGTAAAAGTAGAAGTACTCAGGTCTTGTACTTGAGTAAAAGTAGAAGTACCAGAGTGTAGGAATACTCTGTCACAGTAAAAGTCCTGCATTCAAAATGTTCCTCAAGTGAAAGTAGAAAAGTATTATCATCTAAATATAGTGAAAGACAGTAAAAGTAGTCGTTGTGCAGATTGGTCCATTTCAGAATAATATATATGATATGTTTTATAATGATTGATCATGAAAGTGTTCTCAAAGCTGGTGAAGGTGCAGCTAGTTTGAATGACTTTGTATACTGCAGGGTAGCTGGTGGATTTACTCCAGGTGGAACTAAAGTCTGATTCAACACTTGATTAGATTTCACATCATTCATCCACATCTGTGAAGTAACTAAAGAGATTAAATACATGTAGTGGAGTAAAAGTACACCATGTACCTCTGAACTGTAGTGGAGTATAAGTACAAAGTAGCAGAAACTGAAATGCTCAAGTAAAGTACAAGTACCTCAAAATTGTACTTCAGTACATGTTTACTTAGTTACTTTACACCTCTGGCTAATTGTGAATGTGGCTAACTGTATTAGCTTAGCATACTTAGCTACAGTAACTGTTATCCATCACAACAGCAGGTTGTTAACTGACAAAAGCATCACTTAAAACCCACATTGAAACTAGATATTTACACATAAAAAGCACAGTGAACACGTGTAAACATTAGACATATGATAAACTACTGTGTAATCTACTTACCTCTGTGTGTTGTGAAGGATTTCTCAGTTTGAAAAAACACAAATAAAGAACCAGCAGCATTCAGCGGGGTGACGGTCAGAATCTGGCCGGAAAAGGTGCTCCTCTTTCGGCCTCACCAGCACCGAGCTCCGTTTAAAGAAACATGGTTAAACTCTACAAAAATGTCCGATGAAAAGCACCGTAATACTTAAAGGGTGTTTTTAACTGATGAAAGTGTGGAGGTCTGTGTCATTTCTGCGGTCAGAGACGGAGAAACAGACGGAGCTCACTGACAGCTCCGTGTCTGTTGACAGTTGGAAAGATAACAACTAAACACAGCAACACTTCCGGTCTGGGTTTTCAAAATAAGAGTCCGCAGTAGTGCCTTGTCTCCTGTTTAATGTATTTATTTTTATTTTTTTTCACTCTGCACCACCATAGCGATGATGCTGTAACTTTGAAACTGTTTCCGGTCTCTTTCTCTGGTTCATGCCGGAGCACATGTGACAGAAACAAAACAAATGCCCCCCCCTAGCGGTGGTTCATCTAATGCTGTTTCAGGAGCTGCTGTTCAGACGAGAAGCCCCTCAATGCAGTGCGCAATACCTCAACATGGTCGGAGCCTCAACGCCCCTCCTTCTCAACCTTTGAGGCACGTGACGTCCCGACTCCCGTGTTGTGCAACATATATATATCTGTGGGCGGGAGCCCCTCCTTCTCAACCTTTGTAACATATTATATTAACATATTATATCTTATTAATATATATATATATATATATATATATATAATGATACCGGTAATATAATGATACCTTGAGGTCTGTGATGATGGCGAGTGATCTGTCGCCATGGCAACGGCATTAAAAAATGTAAAACTCAAATTAAACACATTAACGGCCTTCAAATCATATTTTAATGTCTATTTGCATGTTAATTGCATCAATTATTTCAGTTATGACTTCAAGAAAGGGCCTTCATTTGTTTTTTAACGTACACCTTTTTAATTTCAATATAATCACTGCAGTTCAGAGGCAATATTGTATATTTACTCACTTTTTACAGATAAAAAATATGGGATATAAATGAAATCATATAGTACTGTATTTCCTACCAGTATTTTAAAAAATATATTAAAAAAGTGCCATCGTATTGACAAATTGATAGAATTGACAGGATAATATCAATGGTAATATAATACTGTGAACAGAGCCATTCCGCATACTGTACTTCTACTTTTGATACTTCGAGTACATTTAGCTGATAATACTTATACTCTTTTACTTAAGAAACACTTTGAATTCAGGACTTTCAACTTTATTGAACACAGAGACAGGAAGCAACAGACAAGACAGGACAAAATCAAATGCAGACAGATCGTGACAACTAATACATTTTGAGGCATTAGTGAACCTATACAGCTGATTGTAACAGTTCCCCCCCAGCAGCGGTCACTCATGACCCCATCTCAAATGATGGCCTGCTTCTTTTGTGGAACCTCACAACCTCTTCATCCTGAAATATATTTGACAAAGAGAGGTTAAATGTTTAACACTCACACTGGTTCAAGACTTTATCATTTGTGATTCAACAACTTCTACCTGCATTGCCTTTTCCTCCCGTCGCCTCTTGCAGTCTTGCGACCTCTCTTGTTCAGACCTTGGTGAATGAAAGACAAACATTAAAAACATTCATTAAAAATGATATAGTCAGGTTACAGTGTAACAAATAGTTTCCAGAATGCAAATGTAAATTGTAAAATTAAAGAAACATACGGCATGGGAACGTTTTTGAGGAGAATAGGCACCACCAGTGCCTAATTTGCTGCATGTTTGTCTTGGAATATAAAAAGCACACAACCAGATGGGTCAACAACACATGTCCTGAAAAGTCTATATCCACAAGTGATATCAATGAAAAACTGAAATATGAAACCCTTATTTCTACATACCTCATTGAAATCAAATTGGGCTCTTGCCACAATGTAAAATGCGTACTGTAAATAAAGAAATAGTATATTATGTTAGGTTGTTGTGATGCTATGGTGTTCATTGACAAATAATATTCCTCCGTGAATGTTGTTTTGGATATAAATAAATCACAGCATGTCTCAAACTATGAGCAATAATGGAGTGCATAGCATGCTGAAAGCGTTATACATTTGTGTACATTATTATAAACAGAAAAACAGGACTACTATATGTATACTGTATATCTAATTTACACACGGCATCTATTGCACGTCTGTCCGTCCTGGGAGAGGGATCCCTCCTCTGTTGCTCTCCCTGAGGTTTCTCCCATGTTCCCTTTAAACTGTGGGTTTTCTTCGGAAGTTTTTCCTTGTACGATGTGAGGGTCTAAGGACAGAGGGTCTAAGGACAGAGGGTCTAAGGACAGAGGGTCTGAGGACAGAGGGTCTAAGGACAGAGAGTCTAAGGACAGAGGGTCTAAGGACAGAGAGTCTAAGGACAGAGGGTCTGAGGACAGAGGGTCTGAGGACAGAGAGTCTAAGGACAGAGGGGGTCGTATTGTCATACTGATATTCTGTACACACTGTGAAGACCACTGAGACAAATGTTACATTTGTGATATTGGGCTATATAAATAAACATTGATTGATTGATTGATTGATCCAGTATCTTACCATCAAAACAAACACCCCACAGTTGTTCAAGGACCCTCGTCTTGGTAGGCCCTGTAGTGTGAAAAGTAAAAAGTGCTAAAAATGACAATTACATCTTACTCTTCAGTAGAATAATTTTAACAAATCTAACCTGGACATCATCCACACCAAGACTTGCCCAAGGCCCAGGGTCTGAGATCTGAGCAAGGTTTCTGTGAACACAATGCATGTGAAAGTTAAGAATAAGTACAATTTAATTCAACTTTATAAGTAGTCGAAAATCAGGCAGAAAATCTTTGAACACTGTTGGAACAGGAACAAACTTGAACTTCCAAAAAGAAAGTCATTAAGGGGTAAAACAGAACAGCCCGCTGTCAAGTGGCATCTATGGTTCTGTTCAATGCCTTTTATTTAATACAATGTATCCCATGTTAGTTCAAATAACACAGAGCCATACATTAAAAAAAGATAGACTAGTGGTCTGAAACAGAACTACCACTGTCCGGATGTGAGGGAACTGTGCGCCAAAAGACCTGAATGGTTTGGTGCGACTATCATCTCTTCAGCCAGCGCCAGGGAGGGGATCTAGAAAGAAAATCTCCCTAGCTTGTGGCCTGAGTATCTGTTAATATCACATGTTCCAATATCAACAGGTATACTTTGACATACAAACGTTATATTATAAAGTTGTTGGATCTGTATTATACAACTAAATTAAGCGTTGAATTTAAAGATAGAAACACTATTTTCGGCATGGCAAACTTCAAAGGACAGTAAACAAACAATAGCAAAGACTGAACTACATGTAGTCACACAGAGTGTCCAGGTTCCCACACTGGAAGGAGAAGCCGTTGGAGGTTTGCTGCATTTTCCTGGAAAAGCAAAAACCAGTTGTGTTGATGTGACTTCAGTAATGAGTTGGTACGAGAACATGGAGCAGCAACATGGATAATCATGATCAAGATACCGGCAGGTGTCGCATCGGATTCAGCGAAGATGGTGGAAACCAGGCAGCTATAACATGGCTGTTGGCAGCAAACACGCCATCTACTCTCTGTAACAGATGTAGTTTCATAATGTAATGTTTTTTTTTATATTTGATATACTTTATTTATAATATCTTATAATTGTTTGGTATAATATAGTATGTTTTATACATATATTTACATATTTTAACAGCTTCAATACCTTCTCAATAACTGTTCAGGATCTGGCAGAATACAAACACACAGTCAGTAAAGTCAGGTTAGGCAATAGGCAGGAATAAAATAAGCTGCATATTCATTTATCTTGTAAACATCGAATTGAAATATAGGTTATGCATAGTATAGTTATTAGTATTTCTCAAGTAGTGCAAAAATAATATAAAGTTTTCAGGACTTTGCTTATACAGCAATCCTACTATTTTGAAGCAACACAAATGTAGTTTTACTTACTGCATCACTAGGACATGCACGTCCTAGTAGCGACAGCGCACATTTGACAGCAAATAAGTGAGACTTAAAATCAACACATTTTAAACCGCCGCAAAAACAAATAGTTAATTTATTCAGGGTTACTTACCTCCATCGTACTCTGACGCTATGATTAACAGAACAGAACTGCTACCCCGGAAACGCGTCATCTGTGAAGCTCCGCCCACGTTGAGCTTCCATCACGTGCCTCAAAGGTTGAGAAGGAGGGGCGTTGAGGCTCATGTTGAGCTCCCGCCCATGTTGAGGTATTGCGCACTGCATTGAGGGGTACTACGTTCAGACTGCAGACACACAGTGGAGCCAACGGACTGCAGTAAGTCCTCTAAATACCTGTTATCAACACTGAAGACTGCACTACTGACAGGGAATCAGTTATTTAGATGCAAACTAACCCAAATACCTTTATAAGATAAGAGCTACTTTATTGATCCCAACTTGGGACATTTTTGCATTGTAGCAGCACAGTGGCGAGCCGTCAGAGGGCCTAGGTATAAAAGTCACGACTCGCCACTGTAGCAGCATAAAAAAAAAGAAGTAAAATTGAGAAGTTACCACACACACACACACATACCATGTATACATCACTTCAGGGGACATTACATTGACTTACATGCGTTTCCTGGAGACTTATCCTAACCTTAACCATAACCAACACATGCCTAACCCTAACCCTTAACCTAACCCTAACCAAGTCTTCACCCTAAAATTAATGATCCCCCTCATGGTGATAGTTGAATATAAACAGATGATAGATGAATATAAACAGATGATAGTTGAATATAAACAGATGATAGTTGAATATAAACAGATGATAGTTGAATATAAACAGATGATAGATGAATATAAACAGATGATAGATGAATATAAACAGATGATAGTTGAATATAAACAGATGATAGTTGAATATAAACAGATGATAGTTGAATATAAACAGATGATAGATGAATATAAACAGATGATAGTAGAATATAAACAGATGATAGATGAATATAAAACAGATGATAGTTGAATATAAACAGATGATAGTTGAATATAAACAGATGATAGTAGAATATAAACAGATGATAGATGAATATAAACAGATGATAGATGAATATAAACAGATGATAGATGAATATAAACAGATGATAGATGAATATAAACAGATGATAGTTGAATATAAAACAGATGATGATGAATATAACAGATGATAGATGAATATAAACAGATGATAGATGAATATAAACAGATGATAGATGAATATAAAACAGATATAGATGAATATAAACAGATGATAGATGAATATAAACAGATGATAGATGAATATAAACAGTGTAGTGAATAAACAGATGATAGTTGAATATAAACAGATGATAGATGAATATAAACAGATGATAGATTGAATATAACAGATGATAGATGAATATAAACAGATGATAGATGAATATAAACAGATGATAGATTGAATATAAACAGATGATAGATGAATATAAACAGATGATAGATGAATATAAACAGATGATAGTTGAATATAAACAGATGATAGATGAATTAATTAACAGATGATAGATTGAATATAAACAGATGATAGATGAATATAAACAGATGATAGATGAATATAAACAGATGATAGATGAATATAAACAGATGATAGTTGAATATAAACAGATGATAGATGAATATAAACAGATGATAGATGAATATAAACAGATGATAGATGAATATAAAACAGATGATAGATGAATATAAACAGATGATAGATGAATATAAACAGATGATAGATGCAATATAAACAGATGATAGTATGAATATAAACAGATGATAGATGAATATAAACAGATGATAGATGAATATAACAGATGATAGTAGAATATAAACAGATGATAGTTGAATATAAACAGATGATAGATGAATATAAAACAGATGATAGATGAATATAAACAGATGATAGTTTGAATATAAACAGATGATAGATGAATATAAACAGATGATAGATGAATATAAACAGATGATAGTTGAATATAAACAGATGATAGATGAATATAAACAGATGATAGATGAATATAAACAGATGATAGATGAATATAAACAGATGATAGATGAATATAAACAGATGATAGATGAATATAAAACAGATGATAGTTGAACTATAAACAGATGATAGTTGAATAATAAACAGATGATAGATGAATATAAACAGATGATAGATGAATATAAACAGATGATAGATGAATATAAACAGATGATAGATGAATATAAACAGATGATAGATGAATATAAACAGATGATAGTTGAATATAAACAGATGATAGATGAATATAAACAGATGATAGATGAATATAAACAGATGATAGATGAATATAAACAGATGATAGATGAATATAAAACAGATGATAGTTGAATATAAACAGATGATAGTTGAATATAAACAGATGATAGTTGAATATAAACAGATGATAGTTGAATATAACATGATGATAGATGAATATAACAGATGATAGATGAATATAAACAGATGATAGATGAATAACGATATATATGAATATAACAGATGATAGATGAATATAAACAGATGATAGATGAATATAAACAGATGATAGATGAATATAAACAGATGATAGATGAATATAAACAGATGATAGATGAATATAAACAGAGATAGGTTGAATATAAACAGATGATAGTAGAATATAAACAGATGATAGATGAATATAAACAGATGATAGTTGAATATAAACAGATGATAGATGAATATAAACAGATGATAGATGAATATAAACAGATGATAGATGAATAATAAACAGATGATAGATGAAATAAACAGATGATAGTTGAATATTAATAGATATGAATATAAACAGATGATGATGAATATAACAGATGATAGATGAATATAAACAGATTGATAGATAGATGAATATAAACAGATGATAGATGAATATAAACAGATGATAGATTGAATATAAACAGATGATAGATGAATATAAACAGATGATAGATGAATATAAACAGATGATAGATTGAATATAAACAGATGATAGTAGAATAAACAGATGATAGTAGAATATAAACAGATGATAGAGAATATAAACAGATGATAGTATGAATATAAACAGATGATAGATGAATATAAACAGATGATAGATGAATATAAACAGATGATAGATGAATATAAACAGATGATAGATGAATATAAACAGATGATAGATGAATATAAACAGATGATAGATGAATATAAACAGATGATAGATGAATATAAACAGATGATAGATGAATATAAACAGATGATAGATGAATATAAACAGATGATAGATGAATATAAACAGATGATAGATGAATATAAACAGATGATAGATGAATATAAACAGATGATAGATGAATATAAACAGATGATAGTTGAATATAAACAGATGATAGATGAATATAAACAGATGATAGATGAATATAAACAGATGATAGTTGAATATAAACAGATGATAGATGAATATAAACAGATGATAGATGAATATAAACAGATGATAGTTGAATATAAACAGATGATAGTTGAATATAAAACAGATGATAGATGAATATAAACAGATGATAGTAGAATATAAACAGATGATAGTTG